TTTTTTTTTTTTTTTTTAGTGTTCTTGGCCATTTTTCTTTTTTATTGGTGATTCATTGAGGGTACAAGATGTGTCACACACTGAGTCCCCACCCCTCTCTCTTCTTCCCTCCCTCTGCTCTTCCTTTTCTCCACCCTCTTCTTCTTTCTCTCTTTGCTCTCCCCTTTCCCCACCCACTGTGTCATTAATTGTCATTAATTGTCCTCAAATCAAGATTGAATACATAGGATTCATACATCTCCGTTTTTGTGATGCTTTACTAAGAATAACGTGTTCCACTTCCATCCAGGTTAATACAAATGCTGTGAAGTCTATTTTTCTAATTGCTGAATAATATTCCATGGTATACACATACCACAGCTTGTTAATCCACTCCTGGGTTGGGGGCATTTAGGCTGTTTCCACATTTTGACGATTGTAAATTGAGCTACAATAAACAGTCTAGTACAAGTGTCCTTATGATAAAAGTTTTTTTTTCCTTCAGGATAGATGCCCAATAATGGCCCAATAAGATCCTAGCTCATAAAGGATCTTAAAGAAAATACTTTACGATAATTTCATAAAGCAACTCCATGAAAGGAAGGATTTTGTTTTTCATTAGGATCAAACAGGAGGTCTAGCTTGAGTTCTTTGAGGTTTCTCCATACTTCCTTCCAAAAAGGTTGTGTTAATTTACAGTCCCACCAGCAGTGTAAATAAAAGTGTTCATTTCTCTCCACATCTGTGCCAGCATGTGCAGTTTTGAGATTTTGTGATGTGGGCCATTCTCACCAGGGTTAGATGATATCTCAGGGTGGTTTTGATTGCTTTTCTCTGATAATTAAGGATGATGAGCATTTTTTCATATGTTTGCTAGCCATTCGTCTGTCTTCTTGAGAGAAGGTTCTGTTCATCTCTCTTCCCCATTGATATATGGGATTATTGGCTTTTTTGTGTGTGTGTGGATTAAGTTCTCTTTAAATCCTAGTCATTAAGCTTTTGTCTGATTCAAAATATGCAAACATCTTTTCCCAATGTGTAGGTTGTCTCTTTGCTTTGGTTGTGGTCTCCTTAGCTGTACAGAAGCTTTTTAGTTTCAGTAAGTCTCATTTGTTTATTTTTGTTGTTATTGCGATTGCCATGGCAGTCTTCTTCATAAAGTCCAGGCTGATATCTTCCAGGGTATCTTGTTTGGTTTATTGAAGATTAGGTAGTTATAAGTTGTTAGTTTCATTTCCTGATTTCTGTTAGATTCCAAATGTCTGTGTCTCTATTTTTGTGCCAGTACCATGCTGTCTTGACCACTATAGCCTTGTAGTACAGCCTAAAATTTAGTATGCTGATGCCACCAGCTTTGTTTTTATTAATAAGAACTGCCTTAGCTATATGGAGTTTTTTCTGGTTCCATACAAAATGCAGAATCCTTTTTTCCAAGTCTTGAAAGTCTGATGTTGGTATTTTAATAGGGATGGTGTTGAATTGGAAGATTGCTTTGGGAAGTATAGACATTTTAACAATGTTGATTTTTCCCAGCCATGAGCGTGGTCTGTTCTTCCATTTGTTAATATCCTCTGCTATTTCCTTTCTTAGGGTTTCATAATTTTCTTTATAGAGGTCCTTTACCTCTTTTGTTAAGTATATTCCTAGGCATTTCATTTTCTTTGAAACTATGGTGAAGGGAGTTATGTCCTTAATTAGCTTCTCATCTTGGCTGTTATTGGCATATACAAAAGCTACTGACTTGTGGACATTGATTTTATATCCTGAGACATTACTGTATTTTTTGATGACTTCCAGGAGTCTTGTGGTTGAGTCTTTGGGGTTCTCTAAGTATAAGATCATATCATCAGCAAAAAGGGAGAGTTTGACCTCCTCTGCTCTCATTTGGATGCCCTGTGTTTTCTTGTCTTGTCTAATTGTATTGGCTAGAACTTCCAGCACTATGTTGAATAGTGATGGCAACAGAGGATAACCTTGTCTGGTTCCAGTTCTAGGTGGAAAAGCTTTCAATTTAGCTCCATTCAGTAAGATATTAGCTGTGGGTTTGTCATAGATAGCTTTGATCAGTTTAAGAAATGTGCCACCTATGCCTGTACTCTTCAATGTTCTTATTAGAAAAGGTTGCTGGATTTTATCAAATGCTTTTTCTGTATCTATTGAGAGGATCATATGGTCTTTGTTTTTGCTTCTGTTAATACGGTGGATAACATTTATGGACTTGCTTATATTAAAGCAGCCTTGCGTCCTTGGGATGAAACCTACTTGATCATGATGTATGACTTTTTTTGATGAGAAGCTGTAATCTATTGCCTAGGATTTTGTTGAGAATTTTTTCATTATGGGGGTAGGGCTTATATTTAACAAATGCATAGAAATCCTGCTAGGGCTTATTTTTTTGGTAGGGGAAACACGTTAAGTCTAGGAAGAGGGTATGATTCCAAATATTGATCCATTTCCTTCACATTGTCAAATTTCTGGGCATAGAGTTTCTGGTAATATTCAGAGATAATCTCTTGTGTTTCTGTGGCATCTGTTGTTATTTCCCCTTTATCATTTCTAATTGAGCTTGTTAGAGATTTTACTTTTTTATTTCTAGTAAGTCTGGCCAAAGGTTTATCAATTTTATTTATTTTTTCAAAAAACCAACTCCTTGTCTCATTAATTTTCTGAATGATTCTTTTGTTTTCAGTTTCATAATCTCAGATTTAATTTTGGATATTTCTTTTCTTCTGCTGTGTTTAGGCTTAGATTGTTCTTCTTTTTCCAATTTCATGAGATGGCTTGTGAGTTTGTTGATGCACTCTCTTTCTGTTTTTTGAATGTAGGCTTCTAAAAGCCATAAATTTTCCTCTCAGAACTGCTTTTGCTGTATCCCACAGGTTTTGGTAGCTTGTGTGTTCATTGTTATGCTCAAGGAAATTAA